TACTCTGTATTCTCCGTGAAGTTTGAGAGTTTTGTCACTATTTTTTATGCAGGATATGGTTCAACTCTATCGTGGTCCTCAAGTGTAGACTTTACAGTTAATTTGGACTCGTGTTTCTCCTTGGTGAAATTTTAATGGAATTTACTTGTGTGTTACGTGTCCTCCTTAATTTCTCTGGTCATACCTCGGTAATTAAGTCTCCAATTAAAATTTCGTTAAGCGTAAAAATGAAGGCGGAATATACGTGTGTATTATTTTAGCATTCGCAGAGAGAGAACATTGCATTGTCATTTCGGTATCATTTTTAAACGAGACATTCGGCAAGGGAGAAAATGTTTATACTCTTAGTACACACCGAGCGAATCGCGAGATCGTCAACACATATGACGAATTTTACGCGCGCCGGGGCACTTTTATATTTCAACAAACTCGCGCGCGCGAATTTTACAGACTCGTAAACTCCTATTGGTTTTCTTTAGATCCGTCTAGCAGGTTTGTTAAGTGTGGCTATTTAACAATTTACGGTCAGCGTTTCCCTGGCGGAAATGCTTCCCAGAGAATCCGCTCGCCGTACCCTGGGGCTCTGTTCTGCCGCGAGCGTTGCATTTATTTCCACTGCGAGCAAATATTCTGCGGCGATTTCGAGCGAATAATCTACGACGCGGCGCGATTTACGGACCTTGGTGACCGAGTTCTCCTCCCTAAACAGATCGATACTCCGCGAATGGTGGTGACGTGAATTATTTTATTATCGGCTCTCTCTCCTTTGTGAGGGCACTTTTTTGCCTGAGAAAATATACATTAATACCCGGAGACGCGCGCGCGAAGGCGCGCGTAATGTCCCGGCATTTTGAAATAATAAAATACCAGATGCATTACTGAATGCGGGACTTGAAAAAAAAAAAGAGACAAAAAGGTGAGAAAGGAGGAGAAAAAAAGAAGCGAACGAGAGGCAAGATTTCTACTTTTTAAGTCCTCCATTTTCTCTTACTGCCAGTCTATCCCTTCTCGACACAGTTTTCGTCCGAATATCCAGAGCTTTGCTCCCGCAGTCTCGTTCTCTCCACTTTTTTTTTCCTTCTAACGACTGAATAGTCTGGCCGTGACAAGTATATCGACCGCGTTCCCGCCATCTTTCTCTTATCCTACGCGCTCCACTCTGCCGAAAGAAATGCCGTTAATGCGCGTGGTAATCCCTGGAATGGCGTCGAAACTGATGCACCAAGTTTTTCATAACTCTGAAAGACTCCGTATCAGCGGTAGACTACGCATATCTCACGTCTTTCCGCTCATAAAAAGTTAATATCGAAGCTTTCAAAGTATTCACGCGCAGCGTTAAACCGAAAGAGAATATCGGGAATCGGAACAGTGTAATTCTCCCCTATACAAAAAGGCTATCCATAAACAAATCTCAAACCAATGTAGTTGATGGATCTCGATGTAGTCAATCGATTAAAGTCGATTACGTCGTCGAGTACCGATTATCCATTCTACCTTCTACTTGCAATCTCCCCTCGATCGCTCGAAGGGAAGAAAAGTCAGCGATCTCTTTTGATTAAGTCCCGATATAACTAGATTGCCAAATCGATGAAAGTCCGAGGACTCTCGCGCCGGAGATTCTTCTTTTTTTCTCTTCTTTTACCTTCGTGCCACGGCGTTTCTCGACCCTCTCTCTCTCTCTCTCTCTCTCTCTCTCTCCTTTGTACTCGGCTACTTTCGCCAGCCTCACATCTACCCTCTCCTTTTCCTCTGGTCACGCGATCGCTCTTACGGGAGGATTTTTCAGACTGTAAATTGCAAAAGTTCTAACACGACTCCCACGGTATCACACCTTTAAGCTCAACCATTGTTTCTCTTCTTGTTTTAGATCCTGAGACGACTTCTAGGATCGGACTCAGCAGGCTCTGAGGGTAAGTGTCATTTGATAAATATCGATTTATCGTTATCATTAAATTACTTTTTAGATATAAATTTGATTTTGTCTTAATACAATATATGGAATAGCGCGCAATGTAGATAGAGGGATTATATTTGGTGTACTAATAAATCCTTCGTCAATTACTCGTTGGTTTCGAATCGCGTGAAAAACCGCATGTGAAAAAGCTTCTAGATTGCGTGTTTCGAGCGCTCTCGAAATGTTCCAATGTTCACCGCGATCTATTGACTTTTGTCCGAAATTCGGTTTAGAGATCGTTCCAGCGAGCCGGACAGTCGAGACGACATCGAACGACATCGGCTAATTCGAATTTCGAAAAATTCACGCGCGAAAGCGCGGAGAAAACCCGCGATTGTTCCGTCCGTTTAGCGAAATGCGCGCCGCGTTCTCGTTTCGCGAGCACTCGGCTGTATTTGAAATTTATCGAGGTAACAACAGGCATGGTACAGAGCATCGCCTCCTTGAAAAGTTCACCGTTCTTGTAAAACGCTCGAAACAATTCCGACGTCGACGTCGTCGACGGCAGCATCGCTTTTGTATCGAGAACGCCAGGACAGCGAAAGTTTTTGCATTCTCTTGTCACGGGGCGCGATTTATCCCACGCTCGCAATATGCGAAAATATTTATGCGCAATGTCTACCACGTCTATCGTGTCGATCGTAAAAATTTCAGATTGCGTATAAAGCATGAAATAAAATTGGACCGAAATGTTTTCATAATATAAAGAACTCCCGCCAAAATATGACATTAAATAAATTGATAGCAATTACTGTAAAATGTGATAATCTTCTTCGTTAACAATTTTGATATATGTATTTCGTATAAACATGCGTGTATTTTTGACCGTGATAATTAACTGTCAAAAAGTTGTAGTATCTATCGAAAAAGTAAAATTGCATTTTTCTCTCTAAAAAAAAAAAAAAAAAAAAAAAAACCGCTTACACGTATGTGACGATGAGTTTCAATAAGGCTGGTAATTTTATGTAAATCGACTTTATCTGAGAATGTGCAAAATTATTGCTTCGGGCGTTAGCTTTAATGGTTCTGGGTTCTGACGAAAAACTGCTATATTAATACTTTTGCGAGATTGAATCGTGATTTTTTTGACCCATATAATAATTTTTGGCGTCCCAATGATTATAAGCTGCAAGTAATTAAATCCGCTGTTAAGAGGACGTAACGTTAAATTAAAAATGTAGTATCGTTCAAGTCGAGGTACCGATTTTTGCGCTCGATAAACGGAGCGTAAACGCGGAATTAAAGTGCGCAAGGCTGTGCAAAAATGTTATAGTATTCTATTTGGGAAAACGACTCGCACACTTGCAAACGATGACGTTATCGCAGCCACGCGGCTGCCTAAATGGGGAACCTTCGGAGAAAGATTCGCTAAATTACGTCCGCCGGCGTCGGCCCCCGTCGAGGATGAATAAATTAAGAAAAGGAGCTATACAGTTGGTTCCTTCGACGGGCAAAGTCTCGTGCGTGCTTAATTAAATTTAGCGCCGCACTTGGCGCGAAAACTCGCCTTCGGTTTTCTCTCTCTTTCTCTCCCTTCGATATTCAACCTCGACGGCGGAAAGCCGCAGAAAATAATATACACTCGGCGAAGAAATTATGCAAATGTTTGTTTACTTCTCGCATTATACCTACAACGGAGCGCGGCAGATGTTTTTGAGTTATGAAAATTTAAAATCCGTATTTCTCTCTTTTCTTCCTCTCTTTTACTTTATTTGTCGACGAACGCGAATCGCTCGGATGTAAAGCAGTCAATTCATATCTCGTTTCTTCGACGCCCGATTCTCGCCATCTCGATCGATACAATTGCGGTATCGAAAGACGATGACATTTGGATATAACTTTAGTCTTACATTTGCTTCCCCGAAAGTTACATACGATGAGAATAATAATATAGCGGTACGCTCGCTCAAAGTACCGATTATTTTTATCGCCATACAAAGAAGGAGAATAATATGTTTTTATAGTCGACGAGTTTACCCAAAGTTGGGCCGAAACCGTGATTTAATTCCGCGCTTTAATCACGGTCGATGACAGGAGGAGTTTCCATAAAACTGTGAGCGTCATCCCCGAAACAAAACATAGTTTTCCTCCTTTGGCGATCCGTTAGTTTTAAAAGACAAACCTCAAGTCTTTCTATCCGCGGCGGTCTAAGCAAACTCAACTCTATAATGAGTTTTCTCTGCACGCAAATTGGCGTAAATCGAAATGAAGTTATCAACTATGATATAATAAAGTCATTTGAAAACTATCCACGAAGCGACTTGGAATACTTAATTAACTGAAGATAAATAAAAAAATTTTCACATCAAATTATTATTTATCGCGCATTATTTTCTCATTAAAAGTTTTCTAAACTCGATCTACACATTAAATCAAACGTCTCGCATAAGGTTTTCCCTTAAACATGATATTTTTCCAAATTTTCAATCAAACATATCAGCCGATTATTTTTCACTGTTTAATCAAACGCAATTGAAACAAATATTCGAAAAGATAAACCTCGCTGTTCCGAACTATATTTTTGTTTCGCATACGCATACACAGAACTCCGCAATTACAAAATTTCTAGTTTCATCCGCACGCAGCGCCCCACGTGCAGCTTCCTACACTGCAGTCACATCCCCTATTATAGTCCTACCCTCTCGTCTCCTACCCGTAAAACAAGCGTTCTCGAGGAAGGAAAAATATTAACCAAAGAGCCGTTCGGCGAAAAAACAATTCTGTAGGATGATGCCTGAGTAGAACGAGCTGAAAAAGCCGAGAAAACAGAAAGGAAGGAAAGACAGGGCGAGGAAGAAGGACGTTCGCCCCGGGGTGCCCTCGGTAAATCCTTACACTCCTGGATGCCGCCCTTCCGCCCGATCAATATTGCGTTGGTGGGGCCGAGGCAGGACGGTTCGCCGCGAGGGGCGATAGTGGAGGGTCGAAACGAGGGACAGCAAGGGGGTTGCTGACGGCACGAGGGTAGAAGGGCGACGGCGACGCAGGTGGGGGTTGTTTAGGTGGGGACGATGGTGGAGAAGCTAACGCGCTGTCATGGCGCCGCGCAGCATCGCCAGGCAAGCGGCACCTCGGTGTACTCCCTCGCGGCGCGTTACGCGTTCTTCAGGCTACCGCGATCGGCAGCGACGAGCGAGCTAGTGAAATTCGCGCGCGTCCACCTCGTCGCGTCGCGTTGCCGTCTCGAGCGCTTCGCGAACGCGCCTTGTTCCACTTTTCGCGCTCTCTCTCTCTCTCTCTCTCTCTCTCTCTCTCTCTCTCTCTGATATACTCCGGCGGCCGCCGACGAGGACCCGGTTCTCGGTGAGATCGGAGCGAAACCGCCCGTGACAGGAGGAACCTTGATTCGCGGTCGCGGAACGTCTCTCCCGGTTCTTACGTGCGAGTGTATCGGTGTTTGAACAGCAGTGACGCGAGTGACAAGCGGATGGTATCCGCGACAATCGCCGATGCGAAGACCCAAGTCGCATTCTCGGAGAGTGAAACACGCGTCTCGGCCGACTCGCCCGCGCCGCGAAGCCATCGATCGCGAAGGTCGAGGCTGAAGGTCGCGCGAGGAGTCTTCGCCACCTCCGGAAACTCAGTGATCTGACGTTTAGTTATCCCGACGACGTCGAGGACGACGACGACGCCGCGCTTTTCACCCTGCGAAGCGACGAGATGCCGAGAGTCGGCTCGCGTCAACGCGCTCTGCCGGTGTAACAACGTGTCCCCGGCGTGAATCGATGACGGAGGTGGTGACCAAGAGATCGTGATATAATCGCGAAACGGGCGCTCGTCGATGCACGATGTCGCGGCGCGAGCAGACACGTGACTGAGAGGGATCCTGGCTGCGGTGAGGGTCCTAACCCGGGGTCCTAACCGGGAGAATCAGACATCGGAGTGAAGATAGGCGGGAGTGACCGTCGCGGGAGGATCGAGCTGGCTGGGTTTCGTTGCGACGCTATACTAGGAATAACAATGTCCTAGCGAAGGCAGGACCTCGTCTCTAGGCCGATCCCCCTTATCCTGATCCACTTCTCTTCTCCAAAAGAACCTACACACACGCAACATACTACACCCCGTCGGTCCCGATCACCAACGTACACCCATCTACACCGTTCGCGTTGATACAGATTTCGCCGCACACACGCGATCGGCCGCGCGCGCATACGTACATACACGCGTACAGAGATACATTCGTGTACCAGGGCGAAGAGGATAAAAGAAAAGAGAGAGACGTAGACACGGATACGAGTATACACAGGTACACACATACGCGCGCGCGCGCGCGCACGCGTTTGCTTTCGACGCCCCTGTTCCTTCTCTCTGCCTCTCGTTCTTTATCGTCGATCCCGCGCGACGAGACCCATCATCGCGCACCCGCAACCCTGAACACGCAGGACGACGCAGCAAACACGCGCGGACAAACACCAGAAACGACACGTATATAGGGATACACGGTGTGCGCGCGAGTCTCCCGAAACCAGCCAAGTCCAAAGTCCTTAATCCCGTGGGGTGATTCTGGCCCCGCCCGTACGCGAAGGAACCACACCCCAGCGAGAGAGAGAAAGAGAGAGAGAGAGAGAGAGAGAGAGTGAGTGAAAGCGGTGGAGGAGAATTCAGGGTCCGGATTTAGCAGGCTCCCCGGTAAGCTCCCGGCATCACCAGTCGTTTTTCTTTTTTCGCGCGTCTTTCCTGCTGTTTTTTTTTTTCTTTCTATCGCTCTTGGCGACGCGACTCCAAGGAGAGTAACCTTGCTCGCGGCAGTCAACGCCGGGATGAAGGGCGGCCGAGAGGGTGGATGGGTATCGGCCTCGTCGACCTCGGCTCGGGGGTGCTCCCTCGCACCCTCTCGTGCGCCCCCTCTAGCTTCGCCGACGCTATCTGACCAGACAGTGCACATGGCCTGGTTCCATGCTGGTTGCAACGCGGTCGGGCAGGTTAGGTCCGTTTGCGACACGAAGGGCGGCCGAAAAGGGCGGCCAAAGGGAGGGAGAATAGTCGTGATGTATCGGCGCTCGCTCGACGAGATCCGTACGATCCAGCGATTCTTGCGAGTAATTAGTACTAATTACGCGTAGAAGTCACACATGCCTCGCGATAATGATCTCTGCGAAGCCCTTTAGATTCTCTTTGATCGCGGCTTGTTTCGATATTAATATTGCGTGAGGATAATTACTTACGCCAGTCGTCGAAATAACGAAGATGCGAGTGAAACATGAGCGATTATTATTATTTATTGTATCTTTGTATTTAATGATTTCGCTATTTTTTGGTTTGAAAGACTTATACGGAACGATTGCGTCGTTAAATAATATTAATTATCTCAATGATTCGGAAATTCGTGCGCTTGTATTTTCTATTTTATGAGCGCAAAGTCTCGCGCAATTAGCTTCGCGAAATTAATAGCAATATAAATTCAAACATATGATATGTATACGGGATACGTACGCATACAAACTTTTGTTAATTAATGCAGATGATTTTAGATTGATTTGTATTTCGAAAATGTTGCTATCCAGTCATGATTTCTGACACAACGTTGCAACCAGTTTCAACGGCTATGAAATTTGTTCGCGATGAATAAACATTTCATTGATTTGCCAGAGTGTCTTGTAAATATCGAATGCGTATGTAATCTATGAAAAATGGATTTTTATCAAACGTGAATTATACGGACAAATTTATTGAAGCGAAAATAGAAATTGTGCTCGTGATATTGCGCCGGTAAATAAATATTTGCCGATCTAATTGTCGCACTTTGCAAAAATGTTGCATATGTATGTATAGAAAAATTGAAGAAGAGAAGACAACAACAGAAATAGAAAAAAAAATAATATTTTATAACGAGGTTAAAAAATAACGAAAAGTAGGTGATATGTTGACATAATATCGCTTGATATTCAAAAGCAAATAGCAGGACGTATATATGTATATATTCTAGAAAAAAATATATATTAAATGACTGCTCTTTTATACGCGAATATTGAAAAAAATTGTGCAATGCAAAGAGACACTGTAAAAAATGCTCTTCATTGAAATTATCCATAACAATTATTGACAGAAGAGCTACGTGTATGCTTCGTACGCTTCAGCTTGGAAACAAATAAATTATTCTACATTCATCAACTTTATAATAATTTTTATGTTCGACTCAATTTCTGTACTTGCATAAAAACATGAATATCAAATTCTTTCTAATGTGCTACGATCGATATTTTGACGAGTTTGCATAAAATTCTAATTTCCGATGGATATATATTTTTATCACGATTCTTGAATCTTTTACAAATTAATCGCACGACTCTATATCGATTACGGAATCGACGGAATAGCCAATCGAGAGACGTCCCCCGACGGCGATTTTACCATCGCTTCGATGTAATCCAGGAAGCACCGAAGGACAAGTTCGATGACCGGAATCAATCGCGCGCGTCGTCTAGCTGGAATATAATGCATACAAGCTCTAAAGGAGATATAAAAGACTCACTCTCTTTTTTTTTTTTTTTTTTTTGCAATATAATTTACGTATCGACCTCCCGATTTTTCTACCATCCGATCCACCGATTATTTACGAGTTCCGCATTCTAAAGACTATCGGAGCGTACAATCTTGGACGGTTCAATTACGCCGTATCATGCTTGCTCCGAGTAAACTCTATCGCATGATTTTGATTACAATCTCTGACAACTATTTTTTTTTTTTTTTTTTTTTTTTTACTAACATCCGTCGATGAAAGTTCAGAGTTATAATAAAAATCCTAAGGATAACGCGATATAATGTGAGCGACGCCGACTTTAAGTCCGGTGGATGCAGTTTATCGCGGCAATTCGAGTTTTACGACGCGAGACGAGATGACCGGCCATATTTGCCGAGAGCTGGCCAAGCTAATTTTCTGCCGATGTAAGCAGGTAAAAGCGCCGCGACGCGAATTCAGGAGGAAAAATTCCCCCGAGACTCGTTCTCGCCCAGAAATGAGTCAGTGTTGCGGAGAACCGATCAGTTAGACGGGCATTAGTCTTCGCTCGACAGCAGCCGACTCGGTCGGCCGGCAAAACCTAAGTGGAATTAGGTTAAGACGTCGAGGGGGTTTCGGAGCATGAACAGGGAGCGCGGCTGGAAGTTTGGCGATTTCTTGTAATTAAATCTGCGACCCTCGGTCCGGTTATTGTTTCTACACGTTTCGTCCTTTTGGCGAACTTATACGCCGGCCGGGCGCAATAATTTTTGCGGAGCACGTAATCGGCAGAAGAAGTGGTAGTATCGGGAATCTGATGAGACTTTCGCGGCGTACTTTTCAAGATAGGAAGAAGAAATCACGACGACGACGACGATGATGACGTGCCTTTGTTCGTCGAATTTATCCAATTAGCGACTAGACTCTTGGAAAGGCTCTTTGTGCGGCGCTTTTATAAAATGTATAACACAAGCAAAACTTGAAAATCACTTATCGACTACAAAATTTTATAGCTTCCTTATTTTTTTTACCGTATTAGCAAAAGAAGAAGAAAATATTATCTTATTGAGATACCACTTTGAAATTTAGTATTTATGAAATATTCAAGAAAGCATTCTCTCTCTCGTCAGTGGTGATCGTAACTGAAACATTTATGGAATCTCGCGTTGGATGGATGATATGCGAAGAGAAAAATACACTATATTGCTCGTAGCGGCCGCGAATAGTCCTCCGTTTTATCGCAATCCTCCCTCCCTCTCCTCCTCTTCGTCCTCTCTCGACCGAATTCTCGTTTAATCTCACTTGACCCGCTGAAACTGTCGAAATTCTCGACGCTAACGGATACTAACACTGCTGTTGCTCCGCCATGCAGTACTCTGCAATCAGTTTTGGATCGTTTCACGCGGGTTATACTCACTCGCGATGATATCGGGTTCTCTCTCGAGATTAACGCTTCAAGTTGGAAAACTTATCAACGATTTTTCACGCTTTTTTTACTCGGAATACATAAATAATCGTTTATATTCGTTAATGAGCAGTAGCGAAGTCCAACATCCTCGGCGAATTTAAATTGACCGTAAGACCTGCTGTCATACGCCATATACATATATACATATTTCTCTCTCTCTCTCTTACACGTGCTTAATTAAAGCGTATGTCGACTTTGATCTTAAAGGATGCAATTTGCATTCGGAGCACGGCGGATGATTGTCACCTCGCTTGCTTTCTCGAGGCTTCGCGTTTAGGTATACATAAGCCACCGGTATCCCCATGGAGAAAGGGCATTTGTACATAGTACAGGCTGCCTCCCGATACCCTTCGAACACGGAGAATCGCGTGCCGGAACACGTCCCGTTCAAATACATCCGATCTCGGCGGAGCAATTAAGCTGCTTTATTGTCGGACAAATGAAAAAGGTGCAAAAAAAGAGAGAGAGGGACGGCCGATGAGCGCGAGCGCGGCTCGGATTAAAGCGCTTTTTCAGCGGAAGCCCCCGTTCAACCGGTTAGATCTCTGTATTAACGAGAGTGGCAGCCCGGTAACGCGTGTCCCCCATTAATGACTATCGCCGCCGCTTTGGACATCGAGCGCGATATTTAATCGCGTCTCCGATGTAGCTTCATTTTCATCGACGAGTTTTTGTTTTTTTTTTTTTTTTTTTTTTCCTCTCACGCTTCCTATTTTTTCCCATCGCGGGACAAAGCGCGAGGGGGTTGCGTCGTCAAAGCAATGGGATGGCGGATGCGACAACGAAGTATTATCAGGCCGAACTCGGTTGCCACCAACGAGAAAATTTCTGGCTCGAGCTTTTTTTTCAAGAGAGTGAGTGCTTTGCTAGTTCAGAGCGGATAAGCTCTCAGAGAGGGTTGATCGACACCGGCTGCCGAAATTGCGGTGGCGCGAGGATGCGTCGCTCGCTCGTTCGTTCGAGCGGGCTCCAGCCTCGTTAAATTGCGAAAGCGGTAAAATTTCTGCAACGCGGCTCGCGCGAAACGAACAACGGAATAACGAATGCAGTGTACCTTTATCCAGTCGCGCAATTGCATCGGCTGAGTTATCGCGTGTTGTTTAAACGCGAAAGTGCGCGTCAAAGGACAGACGCCGTTAGATCTGCGGTGCGATATTAATCGACGACGCAGAGTTAATAAAAAAAAAAAAAAAAGAGTCAATGATTTTAAAATATCTTTCAAAATTATTCGATACTCTTCGGGACGTTTGTATAAAATGCGAATTGTGTATTACATCGGAGGATCGCTACGAATTAATTTCGGCGGTCGAGAGTCCGTAAAATCGAAATTTACGACGCGCGCGAGGTGATGCTATTTTTCAGCGTCAAGTCTCGCATTAATTTAATCCAGTCTGTTTCTCCCCCACGGTGTCCGAAATGTCAGAGTCCACCGCACGCCTCGACTTAATCTGTCCTTCGAGTGCCGACGCAGGTACGAGAAGCCGATCGAAGGCGAGATCGCCGATTGCACAGGCACGCGATAGCTTTTCTCCACCACGATTTCCGTAGGTCGAGGGTTGAAGGTCTCCTGCCGCCACGGTGTGGTGGTTTCCACGAAACGTGCAACTTTGACCTCCATATTTAAGCAGACGATCCCGAGTCGCTCGGGTTATGAACAAGTTTCGTACGTGTGCGATATGATCGTACACGGTGTCTCGGAATCACCAGCCATTTATTATATTA